TTTTGGTTTTTCTCCGGTACCGGGAACCGAACTCACGACCTTGCGCGTGCCAGGCAGGCGCTTTTGCTGCTGAGCTAAATCCCCAGCCCCACAACGCTTTGGTTTCTTTTTTTTTTTTTGTTTTTCTCTGGTACCAGGAACTGAACTCACGACCTTGCGCTTGCCAGGCAGGCGCTTTGCCACTGAGCTAAATCCCCAGCCCTTTTTTTCATTTTTAACATAAGAGTAGATCAAAATCAGTGCAATGATGGGCTACAGCCAACCCACAAAACAAAACAAGCCAAAAATGAAAGCCCCCATCTTTCTAGCTGGTAGACAAGAGAAAAGAAATGGTAGTAACCACAGTGGACAGAAAGTGAAGGAGAGGAATATCTAAAATGCTAAATACAAACTCTGCCCACATCTCTTGGGTGACTCATGGCTACCCCAGTGTGGGAAGCAATCTCCCTAAGAAGGAAAAAGACAAGTAAGCTGAAGTTTGAGCTTCATACAAGTGAGGTAGAGTCTCAGTTCAAGTATACTCACATTGAATGCCTGCTAAAAAGCCAAGGAATAATCAAATAAAATGACATTCACGAGAATGTAACTTAGAGCCTCCAAATATAGCAGTCACATATCTAGGACATGACAGAAAATTCTTAACAGATGACCTAGGAATGTCATCTGTTATCAAGAGAAAAACAATTCACATTAACCAATCTTACAAAAGTCATGCTGGAGTTGTCAACATTTTGAAGCATTTATTAAGGTGATGTTAAAAGTAGCAAGGGAAATAAGCTAAGGTAGGAAATCTCAGCAGAGGACAAACTTAAAAAACAAAAGAAATTTATAGAACTGGACAATATCATTGGACATAATAAATGTATTGTAGTTCTGAGGGCCTCACATATTTTAGATCTTAGTAATGGGGGTGAATGTGGCTGAGAGTCATTGAAGTTGGTGGATACTATAAATTATACTCCACACCCACCTGCTTGAGACTTGCAGGGGTTGCTGAGAATCGATGATTTCCTTTTACCCAGAGTCCTATATCCCAGATCATACTCCCTGAGATATCAATAGGTATTACCAAAAGAGGTTGTGAAGTTAATTTTTTTAAAAATTATTTAAAAATATGATACTTTAAACTGCAGTAGGTCTTGAAGCTTTTTAAAAATCACACGAATGTCTGACATGGGTCTCCAATGGCAGGGATGTAGAGCAAGTCCCAACAACATTTGACCACAGAGGCCTTTTTATTCCACAGTAAATAGAGGAATTAGTGTTCTTCAGAACATACCCTGGGAAACATTAGGGTAAAATCTATCTTCCTGTCATTGAATACAAAGCCACTCACCATCCAGTCTCAGCTGTTCAAAAGCATTACCTTACATGATTTCTGTTAGAACATGTTGATGTTCTAGCGATTGTGACATAGTCTCTATTCCATTGCATTAAATCACATTTACTCTTTTGCTTAGGCATCTTCCTTACACATTTCCCTTCTGCACATGTATCTTCAAGTCCTATATTAATTACAATATTCTCCTCTAGCAGTATGCACTCAACAACCTCTGTGCTTCTTTGCTGGGAAAGACTATGTAAGAATTCAATTATCATCAGAAGGATTATGATCTAGATAGATTGAAAAAGTGGGGCTCTAGTTCTAATTCAGACATGGACACTGGCTGTTATGGGGTCCACCAAGACTGTAGCTGTCCTGAATGGTCAAGAAATATGTGGTAAGAGATACATGTCTGAGTGCAATCAAGAAATATAACACTCATTGAGGGAATTACCATGGACATTTTTAAAGAAGGAAAATAGATTTAAGAGAGTTAGGTGCAGTCCTAACTTTGCTCCTAAAATGTTGTGAAGTTGGTAAGCCATTTCCCTTCTCCAGGCACCTTTGATTACATATCTGCGTGGGTGGCTTGGACCAGCAGTCTTGAGGTAGTACAGGTGAGGGCCAATGAGAAGGACTTTAGTAAGAAGGGGAGAAGTCATCCTTGGCTTCCACCAGACCAGATTCCTTATAACAGTGAGCATCCATGTAGAATTCCCCTAATGCTACTAAGAGATGGTTTGGAAACATTTAAAGAAGTTGCTTTCCAAGGTGGCTTTTAACTCTAGCATTTATAGGGATTATTATTCAATCTATATACTTGAAAATGATCCTCAGGAAAGTTCTTCAGTTCATCACTGCTCTATAATTCGTAATCAGTGTTTGCAATTTTGTAAGACAGTTCTTAAATTGTCATATGCACACGAATTACCCTGGCTGCTTTGTTAAATTCTATTTCAGGAAGTCTGGGGTAAGGTCAGGGAGCCTGTATTTCTAACAAGGTCCGGGGAATGCTGATGCTGCTAGTTCAAGACTCACTCTTTGAAGTGCAAGTTTCAGCGGGATGCCTGTTCCTAGTGAAACACTGTGATCAGGTCTCATTGGCTAAATAAGTGCAAAGGCTCCTGAATACTGTAACCACTCTCACAGATTTACAAAGCACTTTGGACTATCAAGGTCTCTTAGATGTTCTGCAGAAATCTGACTGGCTTTTAACTTGATATTTCCCAAATTAATTTCAACACAGAACACTTTTATGGAGAAACACTTATTACATGACAAAAAAGGTGTCATTTGAATCCTAACTTTAAGAAATCTTTGTAATAAAATGATTTTAAAATAAATGCATAAGCCTATATTTTCATGTGATTGCCCAATTCCATCATATGTGTTACTAAAGAAACCCCATTCTCAGTATACTTTAGAATAGTCTTCTATCTGTATTTGTAGGTTCCATAGCAATGGATTCAATAAACTGTGGATCAAACATTCAGAAGAAGATTATATCTGTATTGAACATATACAGACTTCCTCTTGTCATGATTCTGTAAACAATACACTGTAGCAATTTACATATATTGCACTATATTCATATACTTTTTCACCAAGCAAAAATTTTTATTTACTATTGCATAATACCCACTTCTTTCTTTCCATTTTTCTAGTTTCTTCTCATATTGCTCTTTACTTGTCCTTTGTCTTGTTTAGAATTTTATTTGTACACACCTGTAGTTCACAATGTTTACTCCTGGCTGCACAAATATTTATATTTCATTAGGTGTTCTAAGTGATTGAGATATGATTTTAGTAACACTGGAAAACAAAGTAAATATAAACACTATCCCATCTTATGTAAAAGACTTGAGCATGCACAGATGTTTGTGTCCACAGGGGTCCTGACATCAGCCACTCCATGGATCCCCAGGAATTGCTTTTTAAGGCTTCCTTGAATTTTGTTTGAAATTTCCAGTGCTACATCTTTTGAAATCAGGTAGAGAAAAATATGTGGTGGGGATTTCCTTGACTAGATAAGGCTGCAAAGGTATCAATATCACTGGTCTGATTTAAAGATGATAGGAAATGTCTCAGACTAGAAATATTTATTCTGTTGATGTTTAAGTGCTTCTCTGCTAATGAATTATCATGCCATGTTCATCTTTACTTTATCTCCTATTCTTAAGTGTGGGCTCCCAGGAACATTGCTCAGTAGCTGACCACCACATACTAGTGGGGAAGAGTTGCTATCTTTCCTTGCTTCATGAAAGGGCCCTGGAAATAAATTAATGAAAAGACTTCCCCCAGGCCAGCCCTTTTCAAAGTGTATCCATGTATCCACGTACTTTTCCAACAGTCCAGTCATAAAACCAGCATGGATTATCTTCCTTGGCGAGTAGATGAAGGAATTGAAGCAGGGAAGATTAGTTATTAGTTTGAAGACCTCTTTCTATTTGGAGAGCCAAGATCAAAGTTAAATAAACAGGCCTAGCCATCAGCAAGTTTCCCTTATGTGATAGGTGTTTCACCTGTTGAGTATTTCACTCCATTTTAAAAATTGTGAAACTGAGGTATAAGAAAACAGGCTATTTGTCTAAATCTCCTGTAGGGTAAGTAGAAGAGCTAGGGGACTCAACCCTATCTGTCTAATTCCAGTGCCTTTGGTGTGAGGCCTTCCTATTTTTTGTCTGTTACATTAGCAGGTACCAGGTTTCAACAACGGGGGAGACAGCTTCATATGGATAACAAGGCAGAGATCAGACACTTTCCACAAAGGAGTTTTCTCTACTGCAGAAGTTTGCCCAAGGCCAGCTCAGCATTTCATTACATGATTTTCCCTTTTAAATCTACTGTA